GCACGGGCATCGGCCCACACACACCACACACACCCACCCCACACGCCCCCCCCCAGACACATGCACGGGTGAGTTCCGCCCCAACACACACGCCCCGCACACACTTACAACGCCGCCCCTGCCCCAACACACACAGCTCACGCCCCCCCCCCACACAGCACGCCCACACACGCACACACGCCACACACACACAACGGCCCCACACAGCCGGCTCACGCGCACACCCCACAGCACAAGCGAGGTGAGCACCACATGCACACAGCACAGGGTCGAAGCACACAAGCGCGCCACATACTTTGCGCCCCACAGCGCGTGTTACTGTGCTGACGCCGGCCCACACACATTACAACGCCCACACAACACACAGGACAGAGCCCCACACGATGGACACACACGGTGTCACACACACACAGTTGGCCACGGCGAGCAGTGATAGCTGACACACAGGGAACACAGCACACACGCAACACACATCACACATCATCGGCGCACTACACATAACACGGCACAACCACACGGAGTGTGCTGGTCACAGGCACATACACACTACACAGCACACGGCACATACAGAACAAGCATTTCTGCATAGAATCGCACATACACGACACACGCCACATCACACGCACAATACACACACACACACACACGACAGCAAGGCACACACACACAGACACACAACACACAGACACATAGTATATCTATATATATATTATAATAAATTATGATATACCGTGATATATATTATATATAATATATAATATATATAAATATAACCTCCTTGTACGTCGCACACAATGCGCATATCACTACAGACGGGCACGCGCCAAAGTCATAAAACACATACCTCAAGACACAGCGCACGGCGGGCACTCGTCTCACGGCGGTAAACACGTAGGACACGAGGTATGCAACACTAGCGCGACACACAAACACTCACTGGGCATCAGTACAATCACGGTGCTACTAAGACGGGTCATCACTCACCTCACGGTGCCGTTTTCAGCTTCACTCACTTACCAGCGTCACGGCATCACTGCATCACTCAGCAGTCACATCTCTCATCATCTGCTCTTCTCTCTGCTCTCTCAGCATTCTCTCTCTCTCTCGTCTCGATCTAGTCTCTCTCTGCTCTCCTCGTCATAATATATCATCACGATGCTCACGTACACAGGACAGAAAACATCTCACAGTCACATCACTCATCTCTTCTCTCTCTCTCCTCTCTCTCTCCTCCGCTTCTCTCTCCTTTCTCTCGTCTCCTCTCCTCTCCTCTCTCTCTCGTCTCGTCTCGTTACTCTCTCTCTCGGGTTCTCTCTCGCCTCTTCCTCTTTCTCTTCTCTCTCTCTCGTCTCTCATCCCCTCCTCTACCCTCTCTCATCCCTCTCTCTCTCTCTCTCTCTCCTCCCTCTCTCTCATCTCGTCCTCGTCGTCTCTCTCTCGATCTCTATCGTGCTCTACCTCGTGCTCCTCTCTCTCTGTCTCCAGTCTCTCTCTCTCGACCTTCTCTCCTCTCCGTTCTCATCTTTCTCTCTCTTCGCTCTCTCTTCGCTGCTCTCGACTCGCCTGCGTCTCTCTCTGATGAGCTCTCTCTCTCTCCCTCTCTGGTGTCGCTCTTCGTTCTCTCTTTCCGATCTCTCTTCTCTCTCTCTAAAACATACACAGCGTCTCACGTACCAGAGCACACACATTGCACATAGAGGTGTTCATCAAGTCGTGGTTGAGGTTGATGGGTTGCGAGACCGTCGTCGCAGTGCGCGTTGGATAGGACGTTGATCGTCGTTGGAGTTTCAGTGCTGCAGGAAGATGATACGTCATTGTATGCTTACAAATGATTTACATGGCAGCAGGAGCACTTCACTGGAAATGTGTTGCGATCGTTGCTGTTGGATCTGGAGTGGTTCATGGCGTCCATTGATGCTGTTCGTGGTCTGCTCACGGTTGTAAATCACCCATCATTAACATGGTTGCACGGTCTATCTATCGGCGGCAGGTATGTCGTGTGACGTTCTGCGCGTAGTTCAAGTTTCGCGAGATATTGGCGTGCAGCTAGTGGGATTCTATGAAAGTGTCGAGCGCACTACGGGACTCGCACTAACAGGAGAGTACCTATAGGCCACACGCACGCGCTCATATCCGAAGTTACGTGAGAATGGGCTGAGACTGCGAAGCCTTGGTTAGAGTTTGGCGGATATATGTGGTCTGACTAGCAAACAGGCAAAACTACACTACTCACACACACACACACAGACAACACACACACCACACACACACACACACACACAGGACACGAAGCAATACAACAACACACATATATATATATATATATATCTATATATTATATATATATATATATATATATATAAATATAGTATATATATATATGGGTATGTATATATGTATATATGTATATGCACACATGCAACACACACACACATACATACATATTTACAACACACACACACACGCAATATATATAATATATATATATATATATATATATATATATATATATATATATATATATATATATATATATATATATATATATCATATACATACTTACATACATATATTTATATGTATATATATATATATAATATATATATTATATATAATTATATTATATAATTTATATATATTTATATATATATAATTTATATATATTAATGTGTGTGTGTGTGTTTGCATTTGCAATTGCATTTGCATTTATTTATATAGATAAGCAGGTACATGTCATTCAACTTTTTTTTTTTTTCTTTTTTTCTTTTCTTTTGACAAAATTTCATGCAGCAGAGATATTAAACGTTAAACATTGTTATCACGCTGGCCAGAACGAAGACTGCATTGGGCCCTATGGGAAAAAGGGCTGAAAAGGCTAGAATGGGAGCCTCCCAAGGCCTTTGAGTGAAATTCCAAGACTTCAGCGGAAATGGCAGCGATGCGGTGTGTAAAGGGAAGGTGACGCTTCACCATAATGGAACGTCAAGATACGCTGGGCGGTGATGGATCAGCCGTGACGGCGTCGTGTGATATCTGATTATTTATTTATAAGCACGTGTATTCGAACATATATATGTACTTATACACGGTAATACACATAGATGCACCAACTCATTCATATATTCACTCAAACATGCATACATTTATACACAGAGGCATGGGTACCTCCTCACCCTCACACAAACACAGGGGCATGGGTACCCTTACCCTCAGAAACCCAGGGGTATGGGCACCCCCCCTTCCCAGACACAAACACAGGGGCATGGGCAGCCGCTCCCTCCTACACAATCTCACCCACACTCAAACACAGGGGAATGGGTACACACCAACACAGGGGAAGGGGGCCCTCCACGAATCGTCAAACACAGCACTAGCACACAATACATAACACACACAACACACCATCACACACACACACGATATATTTATATATGCTTTTCCTCGCTCGTCCCCAATTTCTCTCCCCTCCCCAATTCTCTCCCCTCCCCCTTCTCTTACCTTTTCCTCACCTTCCCTCTCCTCTGGCGATCCATACCCACCTTTCCTTTTCCTTTGCGTCTCGCCGTTTCCTCCCTCCCCTTTCCCGTCCTTTTCCTTATCTCCCTTTTCCTTCCTCCTTTCCCCTCCTCCCCCCTTATCTTCTTTTTATCCGGTCTCGTTTCTTTCCCTCTCCCCTTATCTCCTCCTAATTTCTCTTTTATTCCTAAATTCGTTCACATCGCGGTCTTTGACAGTGAGAAGCGATCTTCCCTGCAATAAAGACAAACATTCTGAAGCTCTAAAGTTCGATAATTAAGCAAATAGGCCTAGTATAGTGTACGTTCTTGAAGTTAAATGCATTTGCCGGATACGCACGGTATTTAAATATGCACGTGGTCACAGAAAACGGACAGATTAATTAAAAAACACCTGTTGACATGGTGGGCGGGAGTATTTCAAATCCAAGCGACTTTTTCCCTCCGCGTCGCCGTTTTAAAGTTTCGTATTTTTACTACTGAGTGAGAACAGTAACGATGGCCTATGTTATTGCGGTAATGGCATTCACACAGTGTTTAATCGTATCAGTAACAGAAACTGATGTTCATATTTTAATGAAATACAGTGAGATATGCTATTTACATTATTATTGTCAACAGACCACAATTACACAAAAGATATGTTGCAATGATAGGCCTAGTGCTTAGTGTAGAGAGTTTGCAGTAGACTTACCAAAATGAGAGCTGTAGGCGTATATATTAGCTGATGATCCTGAACAGGGTAAAATTATGTTTTAATATATATTTTCCTCGTGAAATGTTACTCCAACTCCAACGCCAATTGAAAATCATCAACACTGCTATCAGGACCGCTAGTCGACAGAGCAGAAGCTCAGATGTGCAATTCTGAAGAAAAATAATGGCAACTGGTATTATAAGTAATTAGAGTAAGAGGCCCCTACCACATAACATCATAACTGCGCCACCATCAGCTGATGCTTTTACTCTTCTCCAGTCATCGCCATTTTCTTTGTCCTTTTTTCCTTCATCTTGAATTTTCCTTCACCCACCTGTGAAGCCAATCTCATTTTCTCCCCCTCTCCTTCTGCTTCATCCAAATCTACCACCACTAATGGGAATGTTCGTTGATTATCTCTCTACGTTAACTTTTTATCAGGTGTTGACAAGACTCTAACTATCTCCATTTATTCCAGATCCAAAATGTCATCAGGTGGTGAGCCACCCACATCCCAGGCTTTTACGCCGTTTTGGATTGCTGGGCCTGGCTCGCCCTCCACCCCCGTTGTTGGCAACCCAGTGGCTAACCCCGTGCCCAGTGCTGACCTCGGCTCTCTTGGAGGACCGGGTGTGGCTAGCAATGTACAGCCAACAATGTCACAGGACATCACTACAATGGCTAATGCGGTTCCTCATGATGACTTCACAAATGGTCTTCCAGAAGTGCAGGCGCCTCCACAGCCACAGCAGACTGGGGTAAGATGATTGCTGATTGGAAATCCCCCC